TGAAATATTCATTTTTAGAGCGTTAGTGAATTAAAAAAAAGCAGTATAAAAACCGGAATGTCCAACTGATAAGGCTGAAAATTTTTTCACTTGTTATTTACAGTAAGATAAATACATTCACCAACTTTTATTAAAATAAAACCATTTAAACTGGGTGTTCGGATTTATATGTCACTTAGTATATGTCGCACAGCTGCATTGATGCGTATTTTTGACTTACACTCCTCACACTTGAATAAATATCAAGCTGTCGGAAAAACATAAGCTACCTATTTCTATTAAATATAATTCTCTGTAAAAAAGAATAGTAGTTTCTATACTGTTAGATTGTTAGTTTAACCATTCCAAGCGGAAATATCATTACAAGTACCTTTACCCTTAAATTTTTCGAAACTTGTTGACTATACGACAGATTTTCATAGAAACAAAATAATGAAGACTTTAATTCTCTACGAAATCGTTCCTATTACTTTCTTACATATAATCAGAGGTTTTCGAGATATTCGATTAAACGCGTTTTTCAAAACGACGCCAATTTGAACTTATCACCTATCGCCATAAAAAAATTACTGTCGTCAAGACTGTAGAAAAAAATACATATTCAGTTCATCTAAAAAAAATCAGTAGTAAACTAGATCCACTTGCATACCTACATATCATCCCGGAAGTTAACAAAGCAACAATTGAAAGATTACCATTGGGTAACATCACCTTTATTTTTTATTACGGCTGAAATTCTTTGGGGCCTAGTGTTAACCAAGTTTTGGCAAAAATTTGGTGTAAAACAATCCCATATTTCTTGAAGCTTTTGTCTCAGTTCGGTGATTGTGCGAGCAAGAGGTTGTCGTAGAACCTTATATAGACTTATTTTGCATTGAAATGAAAATATGTTGATATGCTGTAATTGCAACATGTGTTATTTTTATACTGCAAATTTGATTAGGCAGTGATAAAGTTGGTGTTTTCTACTATATATGATCAAAATATTCATTGTTAATATTTTAAACCTATAACACCCTGCAACATTTTTATTATTTGTGTTTGATAAGAAAAAAACCAATTTTTCAATAGTTGGGCCAACTGAAGTGAGAAGGCGCTCCTATATCCGATTCGGTCGATTATAACAAAGTAGAGACGGAATTCTGCACAATTGGAACAAGACAGTTCTTTTGGTCTTGTCGCTAGATGCTAGGGGCTTTATACTTCGCGAAATGTTTAAAGTCTGAAACGCCTTCATGTCTTTCATAAGATTTCATCCATTTTTATAACACTTTTGTATAACTTGGGAGTATCAGTGGCAAAGCAATAAACATTTTTTTGTAGATGAAATAGGCTTCTAGTTTTTGAGAATATGATCAGAGAAGTTGTTACTTTTAGTTTCATGCTATCAATCAAGAAACGAAAATCGGAGGCAATTTAACTCCGATTTTAAAAGCTTCCGGGGCATTTCAACAATATCCGCAAAATTTGTGGAAACGTGGAAATATAATGCTGTAATATCAACCAAATGATTAATTGTTTTTACTATTAACTTACGGGGGATTCTTGTATGGTGCATTTTGTTGTAATTTTTTATGAAATCTATGTCTCGTACCAGCACATCTATCATGATTCAAGTGCAAGAAAATTTCACTTTTATTTTGAGTTATATAATCCAACATTATATTTCACTTTTACATGTCATCATGATATAGTAATTGTATCATCATAATTACGACCTAATTTTGTGAATGGATAATAATGAATGTCTCGTCTGTGAACCGTTGGTTTGTTTATACCATGACTTGCAAAAATATCATATGTGTACCTGAAAATATAGGATCTTGCGGGGACATAGGACAATGTTAAAAATAGGCGTTTTTCTACCCGAAAAACACTTATTGGAAACCCCTTAGAATAACAAAGTCTTTTATCAATTCTACGCAGAAATTATGAATATTGTAAATAAGAATAACCGGCGTCATTACATTTACAAATCCTTGGATGTTCACAAAATGGCTCAAAATAGAGAAAAAACATAAGGCTTGTGAGAAATGCATCTTCTTGTTTTTTTTAGACATGAGTACTTTTGTTCAAGAAAACGAACGGTAGGTGAATATAAACTCATAAAAGTCAAAAATCATAGATCATTGTACTATCAAACTACAAAGAAAATTACAGAAACCATCTTCTATTGAGAACGATTATTTTTAAATACCTAGAAACCTTTTTATGCTTTAAGAGTAGTTTATCAGATTTTCCCAAAGTACGTCACTTTTATACATCTACTCCGATAAAATGCAAACCTATTGCTGTTTCTTAAAAAATGTTATAGACGTTTGAAAAAGTTACCTTTTTCTTTCCTTCTGCAGGATTAAGCGTTTCTCAATTTCTATACCATTGATGTACCCTGAACCACAAACAGTTTTGTATGTTTTGATCATAGTGTTGTAACTCTACGTCCAAAGTTATGAGTCAATATCTTAATTGGGTGTTGGTGGTAAGCTATATTCTTTCATGCAAAGTTATTTATCAAAAAGGGCCCAAGTAGTGAAACAGTAAGGAAATGATCGTCAAATGTGGTGTACCTCAAGGCAAAGTGATAGACCCTCTTTTATTTAATATCTATTTGAATAATATACTCAAAATTGAACGTCTGGGTTATTATGATGCAAAGATAATAACTGAGAAGTAATTTATTTTAGATTCATTATTTGTAGACTAGAACTTTGGGTGAAACACATATACAGGGTTATCCAAATTAAGTGTCCACCATTAGTAACTTTGTTATTAGTGAAAATACAAAGTTGTTTGAATTAGCAAACTAGTAGCATTTTTAACGCTGGTAAAAATGAGAAATAAAAAAAAAACAATTGAGAGTCGTTATTTTGATTTTTTTCAGTAAAACAACATTTTTTTAAACGGAAACCCCTGTATATTATATTTTTTTCTGTTAAAGCATCAAATTTTAAACAAAAAAGTTCATAATGACTTTTCCGCTAAAGTCAAAAATAAAGTCAAAATAACGATAAATATTTTTAATTATTTGCAGTATTATAATATTAAGACGGCTATGAAAACAACATGGCGTTCGCGATTTGACAGCATTAAGATAAGCGACAAATTGTTAAACTGGACATACTCGCAACTAGAAGGCTTTGGAAAACAATGATAAAATCAAATAATGTCAAACATTAGTGTAAATACTTGTTTATAAGCTTTATTGTGTCATTAATTTAAAGAAAAATGTTCTCCCATGAGGAAAAGTGTGATATGTTAGAATGCTATTTAGTGTGCAGAAAATCCTCCTTGAGAGCAAGAGAATAAATACTACAGTGAATTATATCCCGCTCGCATTCAACCGTATGAACGATATTTTCTGAGACTTTATCGAAAATTTAGGGGCAACGAAAATGTTTTTGCTAAAACAAGGGCAAAAAAAGAATTCATAATAAGCGAGGCCACGGAAATTGCAGTTATTGGATATTTTGAAGCTTATCGTGAGAATTCAATAGCAGATATTCTCAAGGACTCTAATTTCAGTTATGGTACTGTTCAAAGGATTTTAAAAAAATACAAATTTATTCCGTATAAGTACCGACCAGTTCAAACGCTTTTGGCAGGGGATCCAGAGAGAAGACTTGTTTTTTGCCATTGGTATCTTAGCTTCTGTCGCCAAAATGTAAATAACTTTCGTTACCTTTTATGGACAGATGAATCAAATTTTTCAAATTCTGGAATGTTTAATAGAAAAAACCACCATTATTGGTCAAGAGAAAATCTTTTGTTAGTACATCCAAGAGGCCCACAAGTCCGTTTCAGTTTCAACGTTTGGTGCGGTATAATTGGTTCAAAAATTGTTGGCCCGTTCTTTTATGAGGGAACCCTAACTGGTGAAAGATATGTGGAATTTATGTCAGAAATTCTGACTAATTTCTTAGACGAATTGGATCTTATAAGTAGACATCATCTGCATTTTCAGCAAGATGGCGCACCTGCCCACAACTCCAGAGGTACTTATCATTTTCTAAGTACTACTTTTAATGATCAGTGGATAGGAACAAATGGCCCAATACAGTGGCCTCCTAGATCACCAGATCTAAACCCACTTGATTACTTCTTGTGGGGTTACTTAAAGAACCAAATTTACAAGCGAAGGTACGATAACCTTGACGCGTTAAAGACTGCAGTTAGGGAAAAGATAACCCAGATAGATGGTAGGACCATACTTAAGACAGTTCGAGCAGTTGAAAAACGTGCCCAAAAATGTATTGAAGAACAAGGTGGTGTTTTCGAGCATCTTCTTTAAAAAAAATTGTTATTGTATTTTGTAAGATTATAAGTTGATGTTGAAAATAAAGTTTGTCGATACAATTTAATTGTTTCAGATTGGAGGCCATAACTTCAACAATTTATAACCTAGGAGAAAAGTTATAGTGAGCTTTTTTGTTTAAAATTTGATGCTTTAACAGAAAAAAATATAATATACAGGGGTTTCCATTTAAAAAAATGTTATTTTACTGAAAAAAATCAAAATAACGACTCTCAATTGTTTTTTTTATTTCTCATTTTTACCAGCGTTAAAAATGCTACTAGTTTGCTAATTCAAACAACTTTGTATTTTCACTAATAACAAAGTTACTAATGGTGGACACTTAATTTGGATAACCCTGTATATATATATTCGTTATAATTTTTTTTTAATGTCACACGTTTCAGCATACAACCCTACATCCCTTCTGTGGATTAAAAAATATGTATTTACCCATTTTATATTGTTATTATCTCTGTTATATTATGATGTAAGTAAATATCTATTATTACTATTCCGAAAATACATTTTTTTTCGATTTCGAAATGAAACCTCGACACCCTGCATTTCGATTAAAATTAGTTTCGAAACATGTTTATATGCGTCTACTTTTGGATCTACTTTATGACCTAGTAAATATTCCAAATCACCCTGTAGATCCAACCCCTAGACATAATTTTTCATTGAAAAGTATAGAAGAAATCAGTACCTTACTCTGTGGTATCCTCCGTCGGCGAGCAGAACAAGCACTAAAGAGAACCTCGTAGGAAGAAGAAGCACCGATCTTTGCTGAAGACGCTGGCGATATCCTTGCGGAGAGAGCCAAGGTCACTGTCAGTACCGCGACTTACCGCTGCTCTGTGACACCAACCGAAGTGCTGCGATTCTGGGTCAAACGATCGATAGAAAGCCGCGAGTGGTTCTTTCACCATGTACTAAATGGGTACCGCCGATATCTCGCCGCGTGAAAGAAGACGGTACGCGGAACTACCGGTAACAAATGCCGTCGCCTCGGCCCGATTTACGCTCTTATACATCACCTTTGTGACGTCATTGTGGTGGTACCATTTCCTACTGCCATCCAACACAGAAGGAAAATTCAACAGGGATTTGGAATTAGTCAAATCCCAGCCATAACAGGAAATGGGTCCTTTTGTGGTTTTTGCAGTGAAGTCTCCAAGGTAGTACCTCCTTCAACTTCATTATCAACAGAGAAAATTTAACAAGATCTTGAGACCTGAGTTTCTTGATTGTTCCTACAGTGAGGTCTCTAAGGTGGTACCACCTCTCACTTTATTATTATCAGCAAAATGTTAACATGCTTATGAGATAAACAGTCATTATTGAAGAAATGGGTTGTCCGCGGTTCTTGCAGTGAGGTCGCCAATGTGGTACCACCTCCCATTTTATTATCATCAGAAAAAAGCTAGAAAGGATTTGAGATTAATAAGAAATTCAACGAAATGAAGTATGTCCATTTTAAAGGTAATTTTGGTTCGTGCATTATAGTCAGGGAACGCTCAAACTACAATTGCGATGAATGAGAGAACTCTGTTAATCCCTCCTGCAATGAGGTCGCTCAGATGGTACCATCTCCTACTTCATCGACATAACGAACTATTCAGCAAGCGTTTGAGACAAATGAGACAAGCTGCATCAATTACAGGGGATACGGGTTCTTTGGTGGCACCTGCAGTGATCTCACAAAGTGGTACCACTTCCGTCGTCTTTATCAAGAATTTGAGAGGGATGCGACAAACTGCATTCATCAAGAGTAAATGGGTTCTAAGTGATTGCTGCTTCATGTTATAAGAAATGAGTGCTGCGATGGTTCTTGAGGTGAAGTCGCAAGCTCGATTTGGGTGGAAATGGACTCTTTGGTGGATTCTACAAGAGGTCGCTATGTGCTACCACCTCTCACTTTATCAACAGGGAAAACTTAACATTCATTTGAGTCGATTCTTTGATGATGTACCATCTTCCAGTTCATTATAATCAGGAAACATTTAACAAGCATTTGAGATCAATATGTTAAGACTAGTTTCATGCATTTTGAAGGTAATGGGTTCTTTGGTGGCTCCTGGCAGTGAAGGCCTAAAATGGTACCACCTCCCGCTTAGTCATCATCAGAGAAAAACAACCTTTTGAGGTTAATGAGACAGGTCCCATACATTTTACAGGAATTAGTTCTTGCAGTGAGGTCTGAAAATGGTACCAACTCCTGCTTCATTATCAGCGTGGAAAATGGTAATGAGTTCTTTGGTGGTTCCTGTGATGAGGTCGAAAAATAGTACCTTCTCCCAATTCACTATCATGTGGGAAAGTTTAGCAATTTGTTTGTTATGAGTGAGAAAAACTTTATCCATTTTAGAGAAAATGGGTCCTTGGATGGTCTCTGCAGTGAGGTCGGCAAGGTGGTACCGTCGTTCACTTCATTATTATCAGGGAAAATCCATCAAGCATATGAGGCTCATAAAAAAGCTCCATTATAGAGATCCTGCATGTTCCGAAGCGGTACTACCTCCTTTTTGATGACGGTACGATCTTCCCGTTCATTATCGTCAGGAAACATTTAACAAGCATTTGAGATCAATAAGACTAGTTCCATGCATTTTGAAGGTAATGGGTTCTTTGGTGGCTCCTGGCAGTTAAGGCCTAAAATGGTACCACCCCTCGCTTAGTCATCATCAGAGAAAAACAACCTTTTGAGGTTTATGAGACAGGTGCTATACATTTTAGAGGAATTAATTCCTGCAGTGAGGTCTGAAAGTGGTACCAACTCCTGCTTGATTATCAGCGTGGAAAATGGTAATGAGTCCTTTGGTGATTTCTTGTGATGAGGTCGCCAGATAGTACCACCACCCACTTCACTATCATGTGGGAAAGTTTAGTAATTTGTTTGTTATGAGTGAAACAAACTTTATCCATTTTAGAGAAAATGGGTCCTTGGATGGTACCTGCAGTGAGGTCGGCAAGGTGGTACCGTCGCTCACTTCATTATTATCTGGAAAATCCAACAAGCATATGAGGCTCATAAAAAAAGCTCCATTATAGAGATCCTGCGTGTTACGAAGCGGTACCACCTCCTCCTGATGACGGTACTATCTTCCCGTTCATTATCATCAGGAAACATTTAACAAACATTTGAGATCAATGAAACTAGTTCCATGCATTTTAATGGTAATGGGCTCTTTGGTGGTTCTTGTCAGTGAAGGCGTAAGATGGTACCACAAACCGCCTAATCATCTTCAGGAAAAAATCAACAATCTTTTGAGGTTAATGATACAGGTCCTATACATTTTAGAGGAAACAGCTCCTTCAGTGCTTCCTACAGTGAGGTATGAAAGTGGTACCAACTTCTACTTCATTATCAGCGTGGAAAATGGTGATAAGTTCTTTGGTGGTTCCTGTGATGAGGTCGCAAAATAGTACCATCTCCCCCACTTCACTATCATGTGAGAACGTTTAGCAATTTGTTTGTTATGAGTGAAACATAATTTACCCATTTTAGAGAAATTGGGTTCTTGGATGGTCCTGCAGTGAGGTCGGCAAGGTGGTACCGTCGTTCATTACTATCAGGAAAAATCCATCAAGCATATGAGGCTCATTAAAAAGCTCCATTATAGAGATACTGCGTGTTCCGAAGCGGTACCACCTCCGCATTGATGACGGTACTATCTTCCCGTTCATTATCATCAGGAAACATTTAACAAGCATTTGAGATCAATGAGACTAGTTCCATGCATTTTAAAGGTAATGGGCTCTTTGGTGGTTCCTGGCAGTGGAGGCGTAAGATGGTACCACCTCCCGCTTCGTCATCATCAGAGAAAAACAACCTTTTGAGGTTAATGAGACGGGTAATATACATTTTAGAGGAATTAATTCCTGCAGTGAGTTCTGAAAGTGGTACCAGCTCCTGCTTCATTATCAGCGTGGAAATGAATTTTTTGGTGGTTCCTGTGATGAGGTCGCAAGATAGTTCCACCTCCCACTTCACTATCATGTGGGAAAGTATAGCAATTTGTTTGTTATGAGTGAAACAAACTTTATTCATTTTAGAGAAAATGGGTTCTTGGATGGCCCCTGCAGTGAGGTCGGTAAGGTGGTACCGTCGTATACTTCATTATTATCTAGAAAATCCATCAAGCATATGAGGCTCATGAGAAAAGCTCCATTATAGAGATCCTGCATGTTCCGAAGCGGTACCACCTCCTATTTGATAACGGTACTATCTTCCCGTTCATTATCATCAGGAAACATTTAACAAGCATTTGAGATCAATAAGACTAGTTCCATGCATTTTGAAGATAATGGGTTCTTTGGTGGCTCCTGGCAGTGAAGGCCTAAAATGGTACCACCTCCTGCTTAGTCATCATCAGAGAAAAACAACCTTTTGAGGTTAATGAGACAGATCTCATACATTTCAGAGGAATTAGTTCCTGCAGTGAGGTCTAAAAGTGGTACCAACTCAAGCTTCATTATCAGCGTGGAAAATTTAAGAGGCATTTGGGATGAATGTACAAGTCCCATGCGTTTTATGGGAAATGGGTTGCTTGGTGGTTCCTATAACGAAGTTGCAATTGAGTACCACCTCACACTTCACATGTGGGAAAGCTTAGAAATCGATTGTTATGAGTGAGAAAAACTTTATCCATTTTAGAGGAAGTGGGTTCTTGGACGGTCCCTGCAGTGAGGTCGGCAAGGTGGTACCGTCGTTCACTTCATTATTATCTGGAAAATCCATCAAGCATATGAGGCTCATGAGAAAAGGTCCATTATAGAGATCCTGCATGTTCCGAAGCGGTACCACCTCCTATTTGATAACGGTACTATCTTCCCGTTCATTATCGTCAGGAAACATTTAACAAGCATTTGAGATCAATAAGACTAGTTCCATGCATTTTGAAGGTAATGGGTTCTTTGGTGGCTCCTGGCAGTGAAGGCCTAAAATGGTACCACCTCCCGCTTAGTCATCATCAGAGAAAAACAACCTTTTTAGGTTAATGAGGCAGGTCCCATACATTTTAGAGGAATTAGTTCCTGCAGTGAGGTCTAAAAGTAGTACCAACTCAAGCTTCATTATCAGCGTGGAAAATTTAACAGGCATTTGGGATGAATGTACAAGTCCCATGCGTTTTATGGTAAATGGGTGGCTTGGTGGTTCCTATAGTGAAGTCGCAATTGAGTACCACCTCACACTTCACATGTGGGGAAGCTTAGAAATCGATTGTTATGAGTGAGAAATACTTTATCCATTTTAAAGGAAGTGGGTTCTTGGATGGTCCTTGCAGTGAGGTCGGTAAGGTGGTACCGTCGTTCACTTCATTATTATCAGGGAAAATCCATCAAGCATATGAGGCTCATAAAAAAGCTCCATTATAGAGATCCTGCATGTTCCGAAGCGGTACCACCTCCGCATTGATGACGGTACTATCATCCCGTTCATTATCATCGGGAAACATTTGACAAGCATTTGAGATCAATGAGACTAGTTCCATGCATTTTAAAGGTAACGGGTTCTGTGGTGACTCCTGGCAGTGGAGGCCTAAAATGGTACCACCTCCCGTTTCGTCATCATCAGAGAAAAACAACCTTTTGAGGTTAATGAGACAGGTCCCATACATTTTAGAGGAACTAGTTCCTGCATTGAGGTCTAAAAGTAGTACCAACTCAAGCTTCATTATCAGCGTGTAAAATTTAACAGGCATTTGGGATGAATGTACAAGTCCCATGCGTTTTATGTGAAATGGGTTGCTTGGCGGTTCCTATAATGAAGTCGCAATTGAGTACCACCTCACACTTCACATGTGGGAAAGCTTAGAAATCGATTGTTATGAGTGAGAAAAACTTTATCCATTTTAGAGGAAGTGGGTTCTTGGATAGTCCCTGCAGTGAGGTCGCCAAGGTGGTACCGTCTTTCACTTCATTATTATCAGGGAAAATTCAACAAGCGTGGCAACGGTACCACCTTCTC